ATAATCACTTTGCCTAATAGCAATCTGTTATTCATGCGAACGGGCGACGGGTTTCGACCGGCAAACGAGCCTGCGCGAGACGGAACGTTCATTATTCATATTGAGCGCTGCGAAAAAAGTCCATGCGCTCGATTAATAGTCAAATCGAGAGCCGGGAGAATCTGTTTGGTTGAGAATTAGCGTCTCTCGGACGGACGCGTCGCAAAGTATTTCCATACGCAAACGAGCGTTTCTTTCTCCCCCTCCCTCCCTCCCTCTCTTCCTCTTTTTTCCTTCGCTTTATCTTCGAACGCGAAGTGTTTTTCAGACTCGCGAAGAAGAAGCAGCGAGCTCGATTCGACGAATGGAATCTTATTTCAATTTGAAGATGTTTTCTCCATTTGAAGACTTAATGAATTTAAAATTTCGATTCGGTGTACTTATGCAGCCGACTCGTCGTGGATTATCATAAAGTAACTGTGGGGCCGGCTTATACATTCGTGCGAATCTTTTTTCAAGTCGCGACGCGACGTTTCTATTCCTGTGAAATCCGCAAACGCGGATTAGATTAGCGGTAATCCGCGACTATCCGGTGGACGTTGAGCTTAATTTAATTTATCCTTTTGTATGATCGACGCGCGCGTCGAGACTTTCACGCGTGGCAGCGTCACGTGTCGAATTTAGATATCGTGCATGGAACTTCGCGCGATTTTATAGATTTCACATCAGCATTATCCATCATGAAGAATCCGCTTCGCGTTATCGCGTACGTGATTAGCGATAAATACGCGTTATAAATATAAGCTGCCGTCTTTAGCGTCCCCGCGCAAAGAAGGCACTTTATTCTCAAACGATACCGCGCGTCTCATGAATAATTAATGGTCGCCGATGATAGGTCATGTATCCTAATTTCTGCGCGTTGATGCGCACGGGCGAAATTTCATCGTCGAAAAAATCGCACCTCATTCTGCGACGGTATATTTGTCATGCATATTAATGACGGCTGATGGACAAACGGCGTCCGAATCGCCCGACAAGCTAATTTTCGCGCGTTAGGCCGAGCGGACGGAAGTTTGCGGCCGATCACTTAAGTCGCTCCTTACATCGTTTATAAATGGCTTCGTAATAACTGTCAGTAGATTACCTGATAAATTTACCACGTGAATTATATTCCGCAACGAGAATCTGTTAAGAAAAAAAAAAGAAAAAAATTCGATTATATATACACTCTCTAAAATGCAATCAGTTTATCGCTGAGAAGTAGCTAATAGTCATCAATACAGAATCATACAAAGTCATCATCTTACAGAAATAAGGTTTATTTCACAAAATAAACCTTATACCCTATAAATAAATTTTTAAGTACTTTTTTCTCAATGTACTGCTTCACTGATTCGAATTAAGAGAGGTAGACGCAATAAAACCGTTTGCTTTTCGATGAATTTCGAAAGTAGGGTTTATCTCGGCGGACATCCAATTTGATAACATAACGAGATATTTGAATATCGCAAGGAAGCCTATCTAATTCATCCTAAAACCTCAATCACGAGGCTCGTATCTCGTGAGCGGTAGCTGATCGTTAAAGGGTTAAAGACACCGCGCGATTGAATAACCGCGCTCAATTCCCCGAAACGTTTCCGTAAACCAACACACATAATCTCGCTTCGTTATGACCGTGGAAGCAATTGACACCTATCGCGCGATCGAAGAAGGGACGCGCGCGCGGCTTCTCGGAGGCGGTTGGCCGGCTGTTCGTCGCCGAGGTGAGCGAGAAGAACGCGCAAGGTCTCTCTACACAGGTTCAGGGATTCCTGAAAATTATTAACGCCACCGCGAGAAGCTAGGTATGTCATTCTTCGCCGACGGAGCAGCGGTTCTCATCGCGTGCACGTCGTTGATCGCGGATAATTCCCCGGCCGGCCGGCCGGTCGGTAAATCGCCGATTTGCCGTGGACAGTGACGTATTTGCAAGTATAATGAAAAGCGCCAGGTTAATGTTAAAGCGTGTACGTCTCCTTACGGTGGCGCGAGGAAAATAATAAGAAGATCGGCGGAGGGGCGAGCGTGTGCGTGTCCCAGAGCAAGGGATGGAGAATGGAAGGACGGGGCGAGAGGTGGAATACGCGGGGGAAAGAAAAAGAGTAAGTAAGTAAGTACCGGGAATAAATTAAACTAATTGAGCAAATTAGCCAGCTGTTCACGCAACTATGGCACACGGACACGCTCGCCACGGCCGGGTAAGGAGGCCCACCGCCGTCACGCAGAAGATGTGTACACCCTTTCGCGAGCGAGCGAGCGGGCGAGCTTACGACGCAGATGATAGAACGTTTCCGCGGGACTTGAGAAAGATAGACGCACGTGCCTGACTTTACGCGAACGACAAACAACGGAGATAAGCGAAATCGATGCTACCGATAACCGAATTAGTGATATCTTTTTATCTTCACTTTATATTACCGCTTCGAGTACTTCACATATTAATTAATATCCTTTCTTTAAATCAAAGGGCCAATAATACTTTGGCTATAATTATAGACAAATACGTATATTGAGTAAAGTTTTCATGCATAAATCGGTTAAATAATGTGTCCGATTGTTATTTTTATTGTCCGATCAAATGAGTATTTTTATCCGACGAAGTTACCGAAGCAATCTAATCGGGAAATAAGTCGCCCTTTGTATGCCCGTTGTAATTTTTATCGGATAAAAGCATAACTTGATCGGATGAAATGACGAAATGAACAACGAATGATGACAGATATTGCACTTAATCGGATATTACTTTTTAACTAGTTTCTCCGATCAGATATGATCGAATATTTTTTCAGTTTGTACGCATAATTTTCTTTAGTTAAAAAACTGCTTTTCTCGATTTTTCCTTGGGAGGAAACCGAAAAACTCCGCGGAATAATTGAAACATCCATTTTCTCCAAATTTTTTCATTCATCCAAAAAAAAAACGAAGTAATCGCGAAAAATGGGAAAAACTCGGATTTTTTCCGAGCCTTTGAAATTGTATAATTTTCTCAAAACATCTTAAGTGTTGTTGATTATAACGAGATGTTATACGCGATCCGTTTATGATACGAGTCACATGTGTGTATTAGCATTTCCAGTTATAATTGTAATTATCTAATAACACGACATTAATTCATACAACATATCTGCTTACGCGACATCTTGATTGCGTTTCGCGCGATATTTCCTGTTCTATTTTATTTATTTTTTTTCTTTTTTTTTTCTCACGTGCACACACGTGTAGTAGTGACGAGGAACTTCACCTTGGTCATCGAATGATGGCAATAATCGCGTGCGATAAAAACAAGCGAGAATTGAGTATTAATCTAACTTTGATTGATATTAAAATATTCAAATGAATTCATGCCGCTTGATTACCGTTTCAATGTAACAGCGGACGCTACATTATAGTTTAACGGCGGGTGATACGCGCGTACCTTCACAGTTGATTGATTGAGGATACCTCTAACGGTTGATTTACGATACTATTCAATTGTGATATTATTGCGGACCGTAAGAATACGATCTTCCGCGTTTATTACCGATCCGCAATATTGTCGTATCGTAATTTATTTCGCGTAATGCATCAGCCTACTGCTACCGAGTTCTCCTCTCACAAGTCGAGTAAACAATTAATGCTAATCATGAACGATCGCGCTTAATTAGACGTTTCAAAGTTGATGCTGACGTCAGCGATTAAGATTGGTAACAGCCGACTCAGTCATGTTTTCCTTGTGAATAGTTGTCCACATATATTTGTAATCTTTTCACGAGTCGCTATAAATACAGTAAATTTCTAACAAGCCTATTGGCCTTCGCATAATAATCGCGTAATAATTTTTTAGTTCAATAACGAGCATATGCTTTGGAAAAAGTCGAGCGAATAATTAAAAGACCGTGTTGATCAGCGACTTCCATGCTGCACGAGAGGTATCGCGTTTCGCCATACTTCGTGTACAGATACGTAAATTACAGGTGGGAATTCGTGGCTGCGAGAGAGAAAGAGAGAGAGAGGAAGGGGGAAGGGGAGGCTTAAGTAATTCTTAAGTAATTCTTTGCGCGCGCGGGCGAGCGCTCACGGGCTTCGAAAACTATTATCTAAACGAAATGTCAGAGGATACAGGATAATTGTCGTTACGCAAGAGACGCGCGCGATCGCGCGTTATTTTCACCTTCGCGCCAAAGAAGACGGTTAACCACATTATTATCGCCTATTATTACCTCATTTTTCTAGCCGGCCAAGTTTGACGCGCGCAGCCGCTTATTATCAAAGTGATTTCCAAGTTACGCCACAACGTGCCAATACACGTAATTAGAGGTAACTTGTAATCAATTTTAACGTTCGACGCGTTTATATTATTTTTATTTAGACGGCGGCGTTTTTATTATCCTTCCGCTCGTTTAAGAGGTACACACTCTGTACGGTTTTTCAACGGCAATTTTCAAGTTTGAACAAACTTGCAGCGCGGTTCCATCAGCGTTCCATTTCTCGCATTTCTCGCATTTAATTATTCCTAATCTCCTTACTCCGCTTATTAGGTTTCCATGTGCCGTGTTTAAGTGAAAAAACAATCGAAAAAAGTTAATTGGAAATTATCGGAGGCAAAATATGCTGGAATCTTCGACAGGATTTTATCGCACACGGAAAAAAATTGATATCGAGATTCAAGATTTATACTCTCATATATAAGCAAGAATATATAATCTTATATGAAGATAAAACTTCTTACGTGAAGAAATTTTGTATAGTTACAAAAAAAAATTTTGTTTTTGTTATTCAGGAATAATTTTCATGAATTGAGAAGAAGAAATATTGGGTAGAAAGTACAATATCTTCAAACTAAGAATTGTATCATATGAGAATGAGTCTTGAATTAATGCTAATTTTTTTTCCGTGTACGTTCAAGAAGCCTATCGATGATACTACCGCTTGGCAAGCGAGTTTATCTATGCCATTATTCGCCGATCGGTTAGCGCGAAATCATGGTAAAAGTTTCTACCGACCTGTATCCGTGCCTCCGTCAGGCCGATCTTCATGGCGAGCTCCTCCCTAAAAACAAAAACGAAGGCAATCGTTAACGCAAGAAAAAGGAGGCAAGGCCGCGCGCAGCCAAGAGCCTATTTGCGCATGCGAGTTATCCGATTTTGCTATTGCGATAAAAGCCAGTTAACGGAGTTGTACGTACATATCACGAGAATAGTTTCAGCTGAAACTCGAATGCCATTACGCGAAAAGTTCTAAATCGCGCCGAACTGCAGCGGTGAAATTAATAGTTGTCACTTTTTTTAATCGCTCTCTCTGATAAACACTCGCTTAATCTCTCACAGTGAGTTTTTTCTTTTAAACATTAATTCTATCGCTAGAAAATTATCGCGTGTCTCGCTTAATCGATAGCCTCAATTATTCCACTTTCACGTCGCGTGTTGCAATTCCGCGTTCGCTTCATTTGATTGTTGATTAATTTTGTCGACGCTGCTTTATCGTCTCAATTATTTCCCGTTGACAACGTCTGTTACCTCGCGTATCATGTCGCGTTTGCATGTGCATACAGAAGGTTGCGTATATACTATATATATATTTAGATTCCGCAGTATTAATGAATGTCATTTCCTTCCCCCACCCCCTGTCTCTCCTTACGCAATCAAACGCATATCTAAACGTTTGGACACCCAATGAGGCAAGTGCATGTAATTGCGACTATAATTATGATCTCCCTCCGAGTATGCGATTTATTACTGAGAAGCGCGATGTAATTTAGCAAAAAGAGAGAGAAAGAAAGAGAGAAAAAAACGTTTAGTTGTCTTTTAATAGCGTCGGGGGGAATAGCGGTGTTACGGTCTGACCTCGTATCGCATCCGTGAGAAAATCGCAGAAACCGTTCCGCGAAATCGCCGGTCTTCTCTCTCTCTCCCTCTCGCCTGGTAAAAACGCGCGCGTTCATTACCTTAATTAGTTTTGCATCCGAAGCAGATTAGTCGGCGTAACGACGCACGATGGGGATTAATTACATTATGCATCTCGCGGCATTATGTGTGATTTTCCGTTCGATTGCTACCTGCACGAGCCATCGTGACGAGAGCTATTAATATCTATTACGAAGACGAAGACCAGAATCCGTGCACCGACACGACGCGGATAGAATCTCGTTTTATACAGGCGACTATACGTTCCGTCCGGCGTATTACGAATACGATTATCCGTGACTAATTGACCGGGCCCGCGCTCGCGCGGTAATGGCAAATAATTATTAGCTCGTGATATTTTACATAACGTCGATCTTGTCACACCGCTCGTTTCCTTTACGCTCGATCGAGTTTCGCATCCTTCGCTCGCGGGCGCATATAACACGAGGTCCGTCCGTGCCGAGACTTTTCCGCACGCACACCACCGTTGTGGTCCAGATGCTCTGGGAACCGCGAACGCTGCAGGCCGCTGATTAAGAAAGATGGAGGACGTTTCAATGTGCCGAGGAATTAATTTATAAGTACGGCGCAACACCACACACCTGTAATCCACGATAATTCGAAACTACTTATCGGAGGCGTGTAGGTACGCATTAAAGATTAAGAAGTGTCGCATTGCGCCGCGCTTTCTGCCTGTCTGCGCGAGAACTCGGACGGACGTCTCTTTTCCTCGTGGAAAAGGCGAAGGGAAAAGGAGAAAAAGACGCACGAATGCGCGCGGACAGGGGCTGCGCGCCGATTCCTCGCGAAAGGCAGGAAGTTGATAGTCATTGAGTTCGCGATGACTTTGAGATGACTCGACTTCTCTCGGCTCATCGGTTGTGCCGATCGGTTATGCGCGGATCCTTCCAATGACGATAATAACCTGTGTCAGTCGCCGTTCGCTCTCGCATGATTTCACCGGAAATTATGCGAACGCATCGCCAATTTCTTTCCCGGGAACGGTGCGATAGAAACAGCAAGGCGTGAATCACGATAGCGATATCCCACGTGCGCGTCGAGGATCCGGAAATGTTCGCGATTTTTGCCGTCATTGCGCGATCGTGCGATCGCCGGGTGGTGGTAGGCAAATGGGGAGAAGAAAACAGAAGAAGAAGAAGAAGGGAGAAAAAAGGAAAGGCCGATTCGGCCAGTGAGACACCCCGCGGGGCTCCTCATCTCGCAGGCAAATTGCCCAGATGTTCCACGAAATCGCGAGGAAATCTCGGTGATTACGCTGCGCACAGAAGCTCCGCGTCTGATCAGCCTGGATCTCGTGTTTAGGCGCATTTCGCTCTTCAGACGGTGGCCACCCGAAATTACAGGGATCTCGGGGTGAGTCCGAAATTCGGCCGCGGATTCGCGTCGCATCGATTTCATCATCGTTCGCTCGCCCGCCCGACCCTCTTGCAGACTCTCGTCTGCACACTCGCTTTACCGTACTTCCGATCGGCTCTGCCGACCATGTTAAAATGGATATTTGCTCTTCAGTGACTTTTACTATGAAGTCAGTATTTTTAATCTCTTAGAAAAACGGTATAATAAATCATTTAATTTTAAACGTAAATTATTTGAGAAAGACTCCCTTTTTTTACAGCTGACTCGCTATTTCCTAACTTTTTCAAGGATGAAGTTTGCTTGTCTCATTATTTTCGAACCGTTTCCTGCTTCTTACCTGTCTTTTTTAATCAAACACCGTTTTTTTAAATGTTCGATATCAAATTCAACACGAAGTTCGATGTAAAATAAGATCAATCGAGAATTCGTCCGGCGGACGTGACCATCAACAGGAATAATCGAACAATGTTTAGCCGTTGATTAATCGTCCAAAAGGATTTTCATCGTATACCGGTGTATCGGCCGGTAATTGCAAGTGGTATTCACGTCGTCAAATCATTTTGACGGCCCGCACTCCTCCAGCTTATTGGAGGAAACGTAACTAGAAGACGCGCGTTCGTATATAGCCGCGGTACTCTCTGATTACCCGTTGTCGTGCGCTAATGACTACTCTGGCGAACATAGTTGCAGACGGTAATTCGTACCTGCTACCAGGCGGCTCGACTTCGTTTTCAATGAAACGCCGCGTATGAAAGAGCACACCTATCAGCTGCTTCTCACGAAAAACAGGCTTGTGCTTACGAACGGTAATATCGCGCTCGCGCGCATGATTCTTTCAGCTGTACGGGCGAGATCGGTAGTCGAATGTCAGTCAAAATAGAGCCCGACGCGTAGCCAATATCGCGAACAGATATTTCGACTGCGAGCTTTGAATCGATCTTTTCTCGTTGAATCGTGTAAATGATACTATACAAACAATGTCACCAAAAGTCGTATTCTGGACGCATGTCAAACGTTAAATATGAGTTATTTTCAGATTCCGAAATAACGTTGTATACTGACATTTATAGCAGATAACCAACATTTAAGCCGGATATTCATAGCCAGATCTTATATTTAATTACGGTCTTGAGTTCATCTTCAATGCTTTGTAACTAATGAAATGAACCGTATAGCATGTGAAGATGAACTTAAGGAGATTGTAAGCAGAAAGTCGCTGGCAAAATATAAACCGTCATCGTGTCTCATCGGGACAAGAAGAACGTCTTGTGCTACTGTTTTCGCCCCCACGATTCAAATGTTTGATTTATCCCCAGTGATCTTTGCGTCACCTCTGATCACTCGAGCGCAATAGTCGGTCGGTCTTTGCGTGTATGCGTGCATTACACGCACAGGCGGTGCGCGCGAGCGAAACGCACACCGTCGCAGAGACGGACGAGGAGGCACCTCGGGGCACCTTGGGGCCTCTTGCGAGTAATAATAATTTAGCCTTTCCCTTTTTCTCCCCGGGCGCGCTCCCGCGCGCCGCGCCGGCGTCCTTCTGGATTTAATAAGATCACGAAATTTCGCGGTTAGACGGGCGTCCCTAATTACAACCGCCGTTCACCGTGGCTCTGTTGCTTACCCTCGATTCGCGTATCGTTATTATTACGTGTCCCTCTCTCTTCCCCTGTCTGTTCGCGATACATGTCCTTGCCATGGGAAACGAGCTTCGGAAAAATCGTTTCTCGCGACGAGGCACGTACGCGAAGATTAGTCGCGCACTTAAAGGGAAATACGAGACTATGATGAAAACCTCGCGCGACTCCGCTCCGGAGATCACAGAGAAATCTCTGCGTCGGGCTGTCCCAGAATTCAGCTGAGAATGCCTTATGACTAATCTTGAAGTTGACCTTCGACGTCGAGGCATTTGAAATCGGACGAAGAGATTTCGTTACGTATCTTTCATTCAGAGCTATTATCAGCGGCTTGATGATTTTTAACAAGACTGATTCAATCCGTCAAAGAATCGGGAAATCCTGTTTTTAGAATGTGTGTGTGTCGAAATGTCACAATTTGACGTGCAATAAAATTTTTATCTTAATCTCGATTGCTATTCGTTGTCCTAGAAATATTACGACATTCACATTTCGCGAGACGGTTTTACGGTTAATAATAATAATAATTTTATCAGCCGCCTCAAACAAAAAGAAAAAAGCGATAACGCGAAATATGATAAATAGAAATACAGATCCAAATTATTTATTTTATATAAGATTATTTTATATAAGCTAGCAGACACTATAGGCACATATACGTATCCGATGGAAAAAGGGAAAAAGGCTATCAGACAGAAAGGAATTAATATTTTGCATTAGGGTGTTGTAACGCGCTTTGACAGAAAACACGTTCGTTACGGAACACACTTGATCTGCAATTAACACGGCCGCTGCGTTCACACGCGTTGCAAAATAGAACGTGACTAATCGCTGATTAATTGCATCGACACGATAATTACAGAATCCTTTTCGAGTCCGGTTATCCGGTTCCGTGCGGGTTTCACGAACTCCTGGCCAGAACGGTGGGCCGGCTGCGCAGATTTGGCGAGAGACGCAAATCGCGAATACCAATTCGAGAAATACGAAATACATTCGCGGAATCGATTGCCGCGGCGATCGAAGGGAAGTCCTTCCTGTCTCGTTCTGCGCAATGTTGCGCAGCAACGAAGCGATCGGGCTGCAAGGCGCGAACGGATTTGCCATTTCGCAACCGTGTGCCAGCATAAGGCGA